AAACGAGCAAAAATAATGCAGCACGTGAATTGAAATAAAGCTCGTGCCCCTGAAAAATTTAGTTCATTAATGTTTTTTAAAAAATTTTATTTGTGAAACTGATACTATTTGCGATTTTTTTTTTTAAAAAGAAAAGGGATCCGTCCCGAATTGCGCGAAATAATATGATCTAACGATTTTTTTTTTTTTGCTGCATTATTTATGATCGCCAGTGTATAGTAAGTAGTATAGTAAGTTACGACATTATAGTCGTAACTTACTATATACTTTGCTATAGTTACGGCAAGTTATGGCAATTTGACGACTATCATTGGGACGATTCTACCGCATCACTAATCATGATCTAATTACTTTACAATCATTAATAATATCTGATGGTACTTTTAATATAACTCTTTGATTACGTTGTAATAATTGTACATTCCCAGTGAATTTATCTGGATAAATTTGGATCAATCTATTCCTTATATGATTATCTGGAATCCTAATATTGATACTAATCCGAAATAACAGTATATATTGTGTAAAGCTTTATAATTGTTTTTACTATAAAAATTATAAATATTATCTTCAATATCTGATCCATATCTATCATATCCAATGAATTTAGTTTTGCTAGTGCTTCAGCTTGGTATGGACCTGTTCTGCTATCAAATTCATGAGCGTCTGCTTCAAAATATAACCCTCCTTTTTCGAATAATATTTGCATATTTTGATTCAATGGCATCTGTACCATCTCCTGTGATAGGATATGTTATCCGTTTAATTTTTTCTAACTGTATAACCATATCAATATAATATGAGCTAAATCTTGAGCAACAACAGAACGAATTGGCTTAGAGTCGTCAAGTAAAAATTCATGTGCATTTGTAACGATATTATTAGACGGGTTAAGTTTAGGCACAACTTGAGCTTTTAAAAAACCATGGAAAAACATTTTGTAGCCTCCTGTTTTAAATTTTTTATATACATTATGACAAAACACTTCATCCCAGCCAGCTTGATATAACTGTAGTCGTTTTTTATAATAGTTTGTAAAAGGTACAGAAGAAGAGTAAGGAAGACGTTTTTCCATGTAATATTTTATAACTCCAGGAGGGGTAATTTGTACATTTGCCACCGATTCGGGAAATTTATTATAATATGCCTGAGCCACAAGATGGGCTTGTTGTTTCTCAGTATATGTAAGAGGACCGTATTTTGGAGCATAACATTTATAGGTAGATGAATTACGTAAAGGGTCTTTATCACCAAGGAATACACCATCTGCTTCTTGTTGTGTATCTAGAGAGAGCAATGTATTTTTGGACACGATCTACATAACTTTCATCCTTAATATATTCACCTGTTTTGAAATTGCAAATCAAAGCTTCGGCATCGGTCATAATAGGAGTATCATACATTATTGGTCTATGTTGTCTAGGGCTTGGCTCAAAAAAGCCAAGCCAAGCTATCAAACTAGCTTGAAGCCAGCTTTGAAACTATTTATTGGCCAAAGTGTAGCAATTGGCCAGATTTTGGATTCCAGTGACGTCATCAAATAATTAGCCAATCAGCTAAGAAAATTGACACGGATCAGTCCGATAAGGCAATTTAGTAAAAAATTATATTTTTAGTGTTTTCCTAGTATAATACAGTATAACAATAATTTTACTTTATTCTCGCTCGAGATCATTTGAAAACAAATTTATTTATTTGAAGTATGGGAGTAGTGCATGCTGCATCAGCAACTACAACTTAAATAATAGTTTAAAATTATCTAAATATAAGAAAATAATTTTCTTAGCTTTTAGCAATACCAATAGGACCCAAAAATCCAAAGGGTTCACAGCTGTGAAGCTTGTAGACAAATGTAGAGACTGTAGACAGCTGTGTAGAGTATCGTATAGGTTGTCTGCATTTATACCTTCCTTCCGACTTATCGGGAGTACATAGTCGCGTGAGAAAGGTGTGGCGTTGTATGTTTCTTTTTTTTTTTGCGGTTTGATTATCAATTAATTCTAACATTGCACAAGATGCAAAAACAACAAGAAATTTCTATTTTTATATGTGTTTACGTAGTACAGAATATGTCATCGGATCTTTATCAAAAACAAGCAAAAATAATGCATCACGTGTTTCGTGACACATGCGTGGTTATTTTCACATTGGCAGTATTAACGAGTAATAAAATTCTACTAGCAGAAAGAAATACTATTTACAAACATAATAATAAAAAAAAATGAAGGTCGGTCCCGAATTGCGTGAGATAATACGATCTAACGATTTTTTTTTTTTTTTGCTGCATTATTTATGATCGCCAGTGTAGTTACGGCAAGTTACGGCAATGTGACGACCATCATTGGGACGATTCTACCGCATCACTAATCATACTCTGTTATCATTGCGTAAACCAGTACAATACAACAATCAAATATGATACCAAGACGATCCATGTTGTTAACTTCCCATGATCATATTCCTGATACCAATCTATTTCTAAGGATGATGTAATACCACAAATCGATTAAAAATCGACAATAGCAATCTTATCCTGCTCACATATCATTCATCACGTTACAATGTCATTAACACCCCCTACTACATTTAATTCACTAATTCACCAAAATTATTCCTCAAATCTTATAATGCCCTTGAAGAACAGTTGTTGTCTTTTAGTCGACATAAAGACATTATTGTGAATATGCATTATAAAAATAGAGGGACTGGAACAGGATTTTCAGCTACTTCATGGACTAACACAAAAGGTTTTCATATAGACTTTGTTTCTGGTTGGTGCGAATATTTCGGTTGGAAATTAAGCCCTTATAATCCACAGACTAACAAATTTGACTAAACAATTGCTTACTAAAATGCAAAATCATGGTTTAATGTCAAGAGAGCAAGAAAAGCTTAAGTTTTATTATTTTGCTATGGCAAATCCACTTCCTACCTTTTACAACATTATGAATATACATATGAACTTTAAAACAGAGTATACAAGTAAATATATAACATATTGGAATCGTTGGTTGAAAGAACCTTATAATATAGATTATGGTATGAAAGTGTTGGGGGATCAAATGAATGATATTTCACGTATTTTACCTCGACAATACTTCCGAATGCAACCTCCATTGAACCCGCTGTCCTTAGAACCCACTTGGTACACTACTCGTAGATATATCGAAAATTCATCTACACATCCAACGAAGATCAGTTCATATGTTACATTTTTTCTTTTATCAAGCAAAGGCCATATGGTGCTCTAACAGATGGTCAGACATTTTGGTACAATATTAACAATAACCCTAAATATTGCCTCGCTTGTTTGAAAGGAGAAATACCTGAGGACAAGCTTGAGTTCTCTGTTGTTGGATCTACCGGAACCGGAAAATCTACTACCTTTGCATGCTGGTCTCTAGCTAAAGCCCTTCATGCTAAAAATCTGCTCGACCTGACAAGAGTAATCGTCTTTATGCCCACTCGAGAAGCCGTCCCATCTGCTTACACCTCCGCTTGTGCTCAATTTGTCAAGAAGAACTCCTGGCTCTGTGTTGCTTATGCTCACGGATCAGAAGATGGAACTGTGCACAAAGAAGAATCAGAAAAGTCCTATGCTAAGGGAAGTGCAGTTTATTACGTAATTTATTTTTATTATAAGGTCGGACCCCCTCCCTCCCTAGTGATAATTTTGATTGGTTAATCTAGATCAATATATCAATACGTGATAGACCCGCTATCCCCCCTCCCACCCCTTTAAATTACGTAATAAACGGCACTTCCCTAACAAAGTGAAAGTCATTTACATGACCTACGGGATGTTTCAAGATGCTTCATTTACTAACAAAGATATTATTGTGTTGGACAAGGTCCATGACCGTAAGAATGCCAACATTCTGAAAGTTCATGCTTTTCTAAAACACAACATCTATGGATACAAGCCCCGGAAGGTCATTGTTACAACCGCCACCCCACTTGACATGGAAGACTTCATCCAACAAGGAAGTGACGTAACAGTATTTTAAAGAAGTTATAGAACATCCTCCTTGGGTTTACTCTAACCTTTGTTGTTTAATGACAGCAATATATATGCCAACATATTTGGTTAGTAAGAAAAATTATAACTTTACCAATTATTGGATTTATTTGGCAATTATTCATATTCCTATTAATAGATGTTATTAAATGGTACTCACTTGCCAATTTATCATTCTATCCAATGCCGATATATTAGCAACTATTTCAAAAGATCCATATACTCAAATGAAACGGGTTAGTGCATGATCAATTGATTTTATTTCAGAATGAATTGGATATATCTTGTTTTTTTATCTTATTTTACACTGAATTAATTTTTTATTTTTTCTCTTAACAGTTTTCATAAGAGGATTGTCTATCATTATGATTTCTTCACAAGATTTATCAAACTTTGTGGTAAAAATAAATGGATATCTAAATTTTTTTTTTTTTTTAATATTAATGTAACCACTTTGTAAGCGGGCATGCAATGTTAACGT